GGTGAAGTCGCGAGCTGTCAAAGACAGGGCATTACTCTGCCTTTCAGCATGCGCCCTCCAAGTTTAGCGTGTTTCCTCATTAAACGCAAAGAAAGCGTATGCTTCGCGTTGTAGTGTCAGAATCCTTGTGAAATACAGTAATACTTTAGGGCGCTTAGTTTAAGCAAATTTGATGAACGTGATCATGCGTGTTGAATCTGAAGGGAGTCGCTCCAGTATGGAAGGGCATTGGGGCCAAAACGTCTGCAGCGCGTTGTGTGTGTCTGTCTGTGTGTGTGTCTGTGTCAGGCCTGTTGAGGGGTGTCAGGGGTGGAGTGAGCGACGTATCTGAGTAGGGGCGAGAGGGGTGTGCAATGTATTTAACGACTGGTTTGAAAGAAATGATCATTCATTTGCGGGCATTTGGGAGTCTCTGTGCACTTGCGGGATATTCCTAGCAACTGGATGAATGTAAAGGAGGATTAAGCAAAATTGTTTCTACTGTATAATTAATGTTCTCAACTCACAGCAATAAAACTTTACAATAAGCGCAACAGTTTGTATTCTATAGTTTATTATTATAATTTTTCATTTTTCATATCTGCAATTCCTGTATTTTTGCTTTTTTTTTTTGCAGTCCACTTAGAATCCAACATGGAAATCAATGTGTTCTTTAATGGCATTGATTGTTTTGAAATTTAAATGTCATTAACATGCCTGTGTTTTAATTTCTGTAATAAATATGGCTGTCAAGCCAGGATCTTGATGGTTTATTGCAGAGGTGTGGACTCGAGTCATGTGACTTGGACTCGAGTCAGACTCGAGTCATGAATTTGATGACTTTAGACTCGACTTGACAAAATATAAAAAGACTTGCAACTCGACTTGGACTTGAACATAAATGACTCGGACTTTGACTAGGACTTGCCCCTATTGACTTGTAAAGACTTGCTGCTTCCCATGAAAAGCCCAAAGATAAAAAAGTATGTTGACATGGACCGCTCTCTCTCTCTCCCCGTTTATGTGTGCGTGTGTGTGTGACAGCATGCGCGCGTGTGTGTTTGAGCATGCGCGCTTTCGGCATGACATCCAATCAAAGCACGGTAGATTGTTTTGATTCGACAGTATCCAACGTGACTACTATGAGGAGCCGGAGTGGACAAAAGTCAAGCGAACGCAGAGAGAATTTGAATTTGAGATCGAGCCAATACTCGCGTGCCAATACTCTGTCTTTCTCTCTCTCTCTCTCTCTCTCATACAACATACACCTCTCTCTCTCTCTCTCTCTCTCTCTCTCTCTCTCTCTCGTGCATTCAGTCTCTTTGCGTTCGCTTGACTTTTGTTTACGATGGCGTCTCATACCTTTAGTGCTTTTGCTCTCACGGGATCCTCCTTTTAAACTGACCCTTCGCTAAACCACGCCCAAAAACCGCCACCCACCAATCGCGGCTTACCAATCGTGGCTACAGACAGGGGCTCTGTCAAGCTTTCGAGCGAGGGAAACAAGCCAAATCGTTGCGCAATTATTGGATTGTGCAAATCAGACACCCGCTATCCTAAAAGTTTGGACTGGGTGGTGGGATTTTTCCCTTTTCAAAACCTAAAGCCCAAGAGGAGAAATGCCAGCGTGGATCAAGCTGTGTGAGGGGCGGTAAAGGAGTTAACAGCTAAGTTGATTTTGTTTTCGATATTCACATTCAGTGATAGGTGGCAATAACTCACACTCCTCTTATCCTAAACAGATCTAAACTGTGTTCTTATATATAAAAAAAAAGCAGGTTATGTTTACCAACGGTCTTTTTCTTTTTTTCCACTCGATATTATGAGCACTGCTTAGTTTAAACCCTCGCCATTGTAACGCATATAAATACATACACTAATATTTGCTGGTAGGAAATATCTATTTGTTCACTTCTGTTATTTATACTTTAATTTGCATTTCAATTTTTTTTCTTCCACTTAACTGCAAATTTGAATAAAAACTGGATAAAGAGCACACAAACATGCTGACAGTAATAGGTACTGTACACTGTTATGGGTCAATGATGCTAATATTCGGCACAAATCTATCAGTTTCTTAGGTTATTAGATTATTTTATAATTTCACCTCTCCTGCTGTGCATGAACTATGCTGTTGAATGTTCAGCGTATGAGGTTGCTAGGCTAACCTTGCTTCAATTTTGATAAAATTATTCTCTAATCAGTTGCTATTATGTTGTGAATATACCCCTGTAATGTATACTGCAGTCCTCTTTTGTCTGGCTTTCTCAGATATCTCACCTGTTTGTCAAAATTGACTAATTAAATCCTTGGGAATGTCTGACACCAGCGCATACACACTGTAATAGATGTGCCAGGCATGAAAGCTTGACAGGCGTAGCAACAGTAACTAAGGAGGGCGAGGCTTAGCAAAGGGTTATTCCAAGAATGTTGATATGGTTTCTTTCTTGCTTTACTATTTATTAACAACACACAAAAAACTAAAAGGTTAAGGTAGTTCTTTAATAAATTCTAGTGTTTTTGAGTATTATACTTGTTGTATACTTGTATTATACTTATGTTTTAGGCTAGTATTATTTACGACTTGTTAATGAATGCTTCATAATACAGTAGTATTACCAATAGTGAACAGATAAAATAATACAAAGTGTAGTTTTACTACAGTAAAGTGTAGTGATTTGTAGTATAAAATACCCTATATTGTAAAATAATACAGCACTGGGTAATTTGTTTATATTACACTTGTGTTACCATAGCAACTATAGTATTACCACAACTGATCAATTGAAGTTCTTTACTGTAGTAGGCTACTGTTCAAAACACAGTACATGCCAATATACGTGTTCAGGGGCCCTGTGGAACAGCTTTCCTCAAAATGAAGAGGATGACATGGAAAATGTCCTCCACAATCTCATCAGCAAAGTGGAAACCAGCAGACACTAGTTTACTTTATTTTAGCTGCCATGATAAAATGGGATTGATAGTGAGATTTATTTGAAGAGTGAATAGTACAGTAGGCTATAATACCTTATCAAGTGTTTCCTTATTTTTATCACAGTTACATTTCCGCTTGCATTAGTTTTTGTTTAAATGCTTTTAAAATAAAATGTATTCTTTACATCCAACATCTATTCCAGGGGTGCCTTATAGTGGTGTTAACCCCTTTACAAGGGGTGTTTCCCCTGTGTAAACTCTAGCCATCCCGATATGATTTTGCTGTTGACATTATTTATTTAAATCTACTTACATAAATGCAATACAATGCAATATTTCAATAAATAAATAGCAGCCGCTAAATTATTGTGGATTGATTGGTGCCACTGACGTAGCTGGCCTCTTCTGGCCCCCCTTAAGCATATTTTCAGGGGGGCACCACTGGTCTATTCTCTGTCTTTAAGTGTTTGAAACTAAAAATATCTCATCATATAAAACAACCAAAAATGTTATGGTTTATTAGATTAAACATTTAATATATAAGTCTATTTTAGTATTTTGGTTATTGTTATTAAACAGTGCAGCAATATGAATCATATCAAAAAGCATGAAAGGAAGAGGGAACACGACACAAATTGTGAGTTTGCATATAATCTCTGAGAGCGCTCAAGAAAATTTGTGTGTGAGCAGTGCATATTTGAGAGCGAGAGAAAATTTGCGCGTGAGCAGCGTATATTTGAGAACTCGCAATCAGTTTTGTTCACAAACAGAGGAAATCCGTGCACGAGCATCACACAAGGTAGAGAGCAAAGCTCTTCAACGTTATGTGAAGAAAACAACGTTATTGTTTGTATGAAGTAGCCTACTTCATTAACAATATGTGCTACCATTTTACATTGCTGCTAGACAGATTTGCAACTCCATCTCTTTAGCACACACGAGATTCAATTGACAAAATTCCAATTTCACTCAATTTAACTTTGCAGCATATACAGGAGTTGGTCTACTGCTACCACATTGAGGTTATGTAATTTTGGTTAATCACAAGTTGATCACTGAAGACATAACATAGCACAACAAAACTTGACAGCAGTAGACCTGCAATTTCTGTGTGATGCGAGGCAAAATGGACTCTTTTTTTGGTGGAACTCGTTCTTGTGCATTATGCTGTGTAGACGAGATGCAGCACTGTTCAGTACTTTTTCAGAAAATTGCATTTGTGTTTTTATATATCTGAGCAATGTTCTTTCATAAAAAAAGTTTGTTTAATACAGATCTTACAACCATACCTAATCTGTATATATTTTATTTTTCTGTTAAAAAGACTCGAAAATCAAACTGCAGGACTTTGGACTTGACTTGAGACTTGTTGCCTTTGACTCGGGACTTGCCTTTCTTGACTCGGGACTTGACTAGGGACTTGAAGGCAATGAATTGAGACTTACTTGTGACTTGCCAAACAATGACTTGGTCCCACCTCTGGATTTGACAGCATTTCTTATTTATTTCAGTCTTTACTTAAACCAATTAAAAAGAAAATTGTCATAATAAACACAATTATTAATATTAAAAATGTAATTATGTTTTGTTTATTTTGTTTGTGATGTGGGTAAATGGTGTGTTTCAATCCGGCTACCACCGCATGATAGCTTTTTTCAATAAGGTAGTAAAATAAATACATAAAAATAAAGTGTTGTTCACATTAATTAATAATAATACAAGAACATTGATTTAAAAAAGCATTTTCTGACACCCACATCCGTCATTAATACGCAGGTTTATGGTTTAAATTGGGTTAATTTTGCCAACGGCCACGTCACTGGTTACCGAATATTAGCAGTTCCCCCTTAAAAGACTCATATTAAAAGATTATTTAATTTAAAGTAATTAAATTTCAATTTAATAAAAAATTGACCTGCATATTTTTTGGGACACATTAAATATTGCATATGAAAATACTGATTTATTTGAACATGCAAACAGCATACAGAACATAACAGAGCATCTTCACACACCTCCAGCATTATAGAAAAACAGAAAAAACTGAAGAAAAAACAATAAATAAACACTGCCCTAGATCTAATTCACTTCACAAATTTGGATTATAAAACGAAAACACTGACTGAATCTTCTTTAAGGACCGGCATATGCTGTTTGTCCGATCATGTTTTATTCCGTCAAATAAAAATAGGCTCCCTCAAATAGATAGCTTAAATATGCATTTAATTAATGCTCCGCTGCTATTTTACTACAAAACCTGTCAATATTTTTAATAGACGTCATTAGTTTAAAGATTATGTCTTATGATTATGACTGTCTCACTCGTGATTCATGTGTGCGGGCTGCATGTAATGAAAGACAAAGACAATGAGCCTTAAAGTGTAATATGTTTATGCTTAATAATATGCTTAATTTGCATACATGTTTTATATGCTGTAGAATGAAAGCCTTAGTTTGGTGGAGATTATCATTATGCAAACATCAAGAAAAACCTTGGATTAGTTTGATTTGTAGATTAGGCTATTGAAAATGTATATTATATGAGAACTATTAATAACTGTAATTTCCCATTGGATAAAGGTTGATTTATTGGTTGTAGCCAACACAATTTCACAGCAACTAGTGTTTTGGTGCTGAATATAGCAGACTTGAGCACTTCACCCTGAAGGTTTATTTGTTATTCTTTATTCCTTTAAATAATATTGCCTAGTTGTCTTTTCAATGATTAATGAAGGACTTATAATGCTTTGTTTCATTGTTTATGTTTATTTACAAGTAGCAGAGTATTTACAGCTAATCTAATAATATAATCTATGATGTATATAGTCTATTTCTGTCCGTTTGCATCCAGTCTCTTTGTGCCACCTGACGGCATAGTCGCAAACTGCGGTCATACCTAAAAAACACAATCTTTTTTTTTAAAAAACGGCGGCAGTAGATCATGCGACGGTAATGGCCACATTGAACTCTCACCTACTGTATCTGTGGCTCAAAAAGGCTGATGTTATTTACGGCAAGAAACACACACACACACCAACACAGTCCAGCACAGGGGTAGATCGGGTGGAAAGGAAACGCTTTACTGAGCCATGACACAAACCTTAGTGCTGCTGTTCCATTTCTCTTCTCCCCGTATGTCAGGATGTAATCAAACACACTTGAAATAACAGCGGTCAGATATTGAGAGCTGATGTTGTTATAGGAGACGCCTATTTTTCTTTCATTAATGGATCTGCACCAACTGTTGCTCATCACCCTGTTTCTGTCTTCACAACACTTTCTGACGCCAAATTACAGAGTCCTCTGGGGAAAGTACTGGACACACACTCTCTCTGTCTCACACACACACACACACACACACACACATAGTAGCGAATTCATTCACTCACACGGGTGCACACACATACACACACACTGCTCCTGCAGAGAATTCTGGGTAAATCTCTTGTCAGACTTCAGCCCAGTTTCATTGATGATCCAGAATAAAGCCTAAACCCAGGGCAGAGCGGCTCAGTGAATGTGGTCTGGACTGAGTGGATGAGGCTCATTGTGTCTCTATAGATGTTGTAGAAGATCAGAGTTCCTGCACTGTGATCCACAAACACTCCTATTCTCCTGCTGAGCGCCTTCACTGGGAGATCAGTGAGTGTGTTATTGTGACTGAATGAGAATCTGGAGGAAGAGCAGATCAAACTCCAGGACTGATCATTATATCCAAACCAACACTCAACACCTCTTCCCTTCCTCCTGATGCTCTTATATGACACAGATATAAACACATCACCTCCACTCCAGTCAATCTCCCAGTAACAGCGTCCACACACACTCTCTCTGCACAACACCTGATGATAACCATCAAATCTGTCTGGATGATCAGGATACGGCTGTTTCTCTCTCACACACTTCACCTCTCTGTTCTCCTCAGACAGAATGAGTTGAGTGTGTGCTGTGTTTGGATCCAGTGTGAGGAAACAGACATCTGAACACAAGAACACACACATTTACAACCACAGCTGTGTGTGTGTGTGTGTGTGTGTGTGTGTGTGTGTGTGTGTGTGTGTGTGTGTGTGTGTGTGAGAGAGAGAGAAAAAGAGAGTGTGTGTTTGTGTGTGAGAGAGTGTGAGTGTGTGTGTGAGAGAGAGACTGTGTGTGTGTGAGAGTGTGTATGTGTGTGTGTGAGAGAGAGTGTGTGTATGTTCATGTGTGTCTGTTTGTTTGTCTCTGTGTGTATGTGCATGTGTTAATGTGTGTGTGTGTGTGTGTGAGTGAGAGAGAGAGAGAGCATGTCTGTGTGTGTGTGTGCGCATGTGAATGAGAATGAGTTTGTGTGTGAGAGAAAGCAAGTGCGTGCATGCGTGTGTGAGAGAGAGAGTGTGTGTGTGTGTGTGAAAGAGAGTGTGTGTGTGATTGTGTATCAGAGAGCGAGAGCGTGTTTGTGTGCTTGTAGATATGTGTGTGTGTGTAGTCCTATATTTGCGTTTTTATTTTTATTTCAGTTGACAATTATTTTAGTTTTTTCGTTTGAATTTGTTAACTATAATAACCTTGGTGAGAGAGTGTGTGTGCACATGTCTGAGTGTGTATGTGGGAGAGTGTATGCGTGTGTGTGTGTGTGTGTGCGTGTATGCGTGTGTGTGTGTGTGTGTGTGTGTGTGTGTGTGTAGTCCTACATTTGTGCAGTCCTGCTGTAATCCTCGTGTGTCCTCCATGATCCAGACTGTAAACACACACAGATGGAGAGAATGAGCAGTTTAGTTTCCCCCTCAGCTAATAAGCTAAAGCTAGCACTGAGCCGCTCAGCTACACGCTCCAAACTCTTGAGCTAAAACACACAACACTTGTTGGTTGAGCCGGGATGCACAATGAATGTAACACAGTGCGTTCTTTTCCTCTGCTGTTGGTGAAGCGAGCGCAGATACTGCTCATGTTGATGGAGACACCCTGCTGCAACATTCATTTATTACAGTGATCACACTTAGCTTTGCCATCGTTCTTCAGCACATGCAGCCTTTGAGCACATGTTGCAGTCCATCTCTAAACTATGTTCAGATTATTAAAGCTGCTCGCCAGCGCCCAAGTTCCTGACAGATTAGCAAGTGAAAAATACACATGTGTGCACAGAGAAGAGGAATCCAGATGTTGATTTTAGAACAAGAGTCTGAACATTAATCCAAGTGTCTGATTCCAGAATCTGAATCCATCTTCAATCCCCAACCCTATTCCTGACCTGATATTGTAGGATTCTTCAGCAGAAATGGAGGAAGAAGTTTCTCTGCTCAGCTCAAATGCTGAAACTGTACAGTGTGTCCCGCTTAATGTCACTGTAACTGAGCCAATACACTCCAACATTTACAGAGGAGATTCATTTCACACTCAATGATTTGCTCTTCATAGACATGACTGGAATACTCTACAAGCTGTATCTTCTGTCTGTCCTCACCCCATAACCCTCACAGAAAACTGAAGCTGATCACAAAAGAGCTTTCTAGTGTCTTTTTAAAGCCATTCAGTGTAAAAGCACAAGGCCAGTGCTGCTCCACATACTTGAGTTTGTCCAGTGTGTAGTTTGGATCCTCCAGTTGTTCAGAGAGCAGCTTGACTCCTGAATCTCCTGGATGATTGTAGCTCAGATCCAGCTCTCTCAGGTGTGAGGGGTTTGAATTCAGAGCTGAAGACAGAAAACCACAGCCTTCCTCTGTCACCATACAGCCAGACAATCTACAAACACAGCAATAGTCCACATCACACAGTTGGACAATCACACATCTCTTTGTGTTGTGAAGATGCTGACTGCTGTTTCTGCTCATGTCAACAGCAGTGATGAACACACACATCCTGATTAGCTCTCCTTATTGATCGAGCCCTCGCATCAGAAAACACACACACACACACTCACACACTCAACAAGGACTCGACATCATCTGTAGAAGTGTACAGAGCAAAGACATTGTTCATAATACACCACATCAAGCTGTAAAGTCTGCTGTGAGGAGCAAGAAGACACACTTGAGCTCAGAAGATCATCTTAAAGTCATGTATAAAACACAACAGGAAATGAGCTGATTTCATCATTTATATTGTGATTCTGTTGTGGACTAAAACAAAATAAGCTCAGACAAACAGAAACTCGCTCTCTTCATGTGTTCATCACCTGACCCACAGTCACATTCACACTGATGGTCCATTAGGGGACTTTTATTCTGTCAGGAGAGAAACACCTGATCAATATTCATGACTGCTGACTCTCCTTCACATTCAGCCTTTACCAGATATTGTTTTAGATGAGCGAGTAATCAGGATTATTTCACACACTTTATCATGAGACTTTTATTTGTTTTCAAGAAACTGAAACTGCACAAATATGAGAGCAGCTTATACCTTCAGCAGGACACAAAACAGCTTCACTTTATTTATTTATTATTTTCTTGATTTTTCCTTCAATATTTTTCTATAACATATAAATTTGGAGGAAGGGGGCGCATGCACGGAAAGCATGGAGTAGTCGAGTTTTTTTGAGCTGCTCTCTGATAACATTGATTTTCGAATATAACTCCATCTTTCGTGTCTTTATTCTATTTAATAACTATCAGTCATATCTTGAATTTACTCTTAACAGTTTGAGGTAAGATTTCAATTATTTTCGTAACTTTTTGGGTGTTTTACCGACTTTTCTTGATTCATCGCGTGCTCGATCATGGCGTCTAGAAAGTCTTCAAAAACCGTGTGTGACACTCTATCTCAGGCAAATGTGAGTGTTATACTGGCTGCAATAAACTCGCAAGGCGACGATCTGAAGAAATTAATTGACGAGAAGATGACCGCTTTGAGTGGTCGGCTGGATACACTGGATGCGGCGATGGCTAATTTGCAGTCAGAACAAACTGGCTTTAATCTAAAATTAGTGGATGTGGAAGAAGCACTGAATGAGGTGGACCGACGCGTCGGAGAAACTGAAAAAAAGTGCCAGGAACTGCAAGCTGAGAACAAATCATTATGGACTAAGCTGAATGACCTGGAAGGCCGATCTCGAAGGCTCAACTTAAAATTCGTTGTAATATCTGAAGGGGAGGAACAGGGCAGCACTTCGCGGTTCATCTCGGACGTGATCACTGAACTATTTGGCAACGAACATTTTCCAGAGCCCGTCAAAATCGATCGGGCACACCGTGCCCTTCTACCAAAGCCATCTGCGGGTCAAAGACCCCGCACAATTATTGCAAGACTTCATCATGATAGGGACAAAGATTTAATTCTTCGCCTGAGCAGGGAGAATTTCCCGCTGAAGTACAAGGGCAGCCAGATATATATTTTTCCTGACTACACTCCCAAGGTCACTGCGCAGCGCCGTGCTTTTGGTCCGATCACGCGAGCTTTACGCGTAGCTGGCATGAAATGGTCGCTGCGCTTTCCAGCAAAATTGATGTTGACTCATAATGGAAAGACGATGTCATTCACATCTCCTGAGAGGCAAAAAAAATTTGTGGATGTACTTCCTAATGTTTCGATCTGATCCCTGGTCAGGAAGTTCTATGACCATCACGCCTGGATGTTTAGACTAAGACTGATAGTTTTTTATTTTCTTCTGATGGACCAATGACTATGACACGTGAGGTAGAGGACTAATAACAATATTTGCAGAGAGTGGACCTTCTCAAGTTTTTTTTTTTCTTTCTTCTCTTTCTCCCTTACAGAAGGTTGCTATTTTCATTTTTTGTACTCTTTGCTTTGTCCTCTTGCTGGCTCCGTGAAGATGGGGGGAAAATGCTGTTCTGCACTGGGGTTTGGGATGGGGTTGGGGCTGTTACCACATTGTTTTTTGTTGCACCAATTGTTTACGGCACTTATAAGTTTTTATGTAAATAAGCTGGACGGGTTTTATGATGTTTTCTTTCTGATTGTTATAATAATGATTGTTAGAAGAAACAAAATATGAATGTGAATTTTGTGAGTTGGAATGTAAGAGGAATGGGGCACCCGATAAAACGTGGCAAAGTGTTTGCACATTTAAAGTCTTTATCAGCTGATATAATTTTTCTTCAAGAGACTCATATTAGAGCTAATGAACAGTTAAGATTGCGGGCAAATTGGATCTCTCAAGTATACCAAGCAACATTTTCTTCCAATGCAAGAGGTGTGGCTATTCTTTTCAAAAAGTCGATTCCATTTCGTTCTCATTCAGTAATATCAGATCCAGGGGGCAGATATGTTATTGTATCGGACTGTATTAATAATGTTCCAATCACATGTGTTAATGTGTATGGCCCTAACATTGATGACCCGGCTTTTTTTAGGAAATTATTTGGACTCCTTCCAGATACCAATGCTACTAACGTAGTAATCGCGGGAGATTTTAATTGTTATTTAGATTCTTATCTTGACCGCTCTTCAGCTCGTGTTCCTTTTCCTATCCAGTCTGTTGGGGTTCTAAATAGTCTTATTAAGTCCATGAATTTTGTGGATGTATGGAGATTACTGAATCCTACTGGTCGGGATTATTCTTTTTTTTCTCAAGTTCACAAATCTTACTCTCGTATAGATTATTTTATTATTGACTCCAAAATTATAAAAGACGTTGTTCAATCTAAATACCATAACATCCTAATTTCGGATCATAGCCCCGTCTCACTAGGTTTAAGTTTGTCTTTACCAAAGAACCAATATTGTTGGCGTTTTAACCCTAACTTGCTAATGGATAAAAAGTTTATCTCATTTCTTTCAAATCAGCTGAGTCAATTTTTAGAGACCAACGATAAAGGAGATGTATCTGACTCATGTTTGTGGGAAACCTGTAAAGTAGTTTTGAGAGGACATATTATTGCTTTTGAATCTGCACATAAAAAGGAAAAACGCAAACGACTATTTGAGATTGAAAATATCCTTCCTTCCTTGGAAAAAGCTTTTCAAGAATCCAAAGCACAATCAGACCTTAATGCAATTTAAAAATTGAAATACGCATATAATTCAATTCTGAGTGATCAGGTCTCTAATGTACTATTAAAGCTTAAGCAGAAACATTTTGAACTCAGTGACAAAGCAGATACTTTTCTTGCTCGTCAGCTTAAAGGGGTGCAGGCCAGTCGTGCACTGTTAAAAATTGTCCCGTTAAAAAACAGTAAAATACTGGCAGCTGCAGTTGCCAGCAATGTACTGTTATTTTACAGTATGTTGCTGTAAAAATACATGGACTACATTGATTTACACAATACTCAAGTGAACTCATTTTGCTCACTGAAAGCAACTGCCTCAACTTGGTCAACTGCTGAATGAGTTTATGAAGTAATGTGCTATATATGCTTAGAAGTATACTTATAATGATAACTTATTTTAGTTAATTAGAAAAGTTCGGTTTAACTCTAATGTCTTATTTTTCACAACAGCACACATACATGTAAATCTGGAATCACCAGAGAGATTCTGACTGCATCAGCCACTAAACAGCCGCTGTCTTTAAATAGAGAAACATGCAGAATAACATCAGCAGTTCATTGTTCATCTTTAACTCATACGCTGGCTCTACTCTCCTCCACAACGGTGACAGACAGAAGAAATTAGCTTCAGGTTTTACAGTAAAATACTGTTTTTTCCTTGATTTAACAGTAATCTACTGGCAGCTGTGGTTGCCAGCAATCTACTGTTTTTTTACAGTCTATTTCCGTAGTGTAAATTAACAGTATATTACTGACCCCAGAGCATATACTTCAGTTTTTATTGAAGTGTCCACACTACTGAGTGTTCAAGAAACATGGAGCAAAGCTGAAGTAAATTCATTAATTAACTGACTAATTAAATGATAATTGAGGATTAACAATGAACAAATGAAGAAATACTGAAGGGAGAAAACAAGAACAGAACATACAAAACTTTAGTCACAGCTTTATAATGAAATAACCTGAAGAACAACAAACGATTAAATCATTTAAATGATCAGCGGATGATTAAACAACTCTACAAACATCATCACCAGCTACACTTATTACTTAATACATGTATTTTTGTATAACATTTACTAAAGTTCTTCTTGAGAAAAAAGTTAAAGTTTTACGTCACCATCATGGAGAACAGAGTTTGCTTTAGTTGGGCTCTTAGCCCTGTCATTTTAAACATTTATATATCTTGGCTGCTGCAATTGTTAAGAACTTTGTTTAAAAAGCTCCTTTGTTGAGGGAAGCCAGCCAAAAACCTTAATAAGATCTGGTGATGTTCATGTTGCTATTAAATGGCAGAGTAAGTTCTCATTTAGTGTAATAAAATTTACTGCTCCTATTCAATGTTAAATCTATTGTTTTACATTATATGTCTATATATGGCAATGATTTCTGGAAGTTTTTAAGAATATCTTGGACAATAACACTGCTCTATGGTGTAAATCGCACTCAAAGACACATCAATAATCAGCATATGAACCTCAATAATGGTGACAACTAACAAAATTAACAGTTTAACTCACAAACAGGCAACTGAAAGTCTAAACATAAACAACAGTAGAATCAAACACAAATAAAGAAAACTGTGAGACCATTATACAACATTTATTTATACCGCAATGCATGCTGGGATATTTGTATTGTGCCACTCCCAGCATGCATTGCAGCATGAAACATTTGAGATGTTACCATTGTTGAGATACAAGGTCAGATTCATGAGATCTGAGTGTGTATTTGTTATAACTGAACTGTTTTTGTATGTTATTTCTTAACTGTTTAGTAATTACGGAGGTATCTTTTCTGTTTCCACTTCTCATTAATTAATTTAATACCTGCAACTAAGCATTAAATCTATTGCATGAGGCCCTTCTTCCAGATTTATAACAAAACATTTATCAGAATTAATTTCAGACAAATAGATTTCTCTATTTATTGACTTTCCAACTTTATTGCTATAGTACAAATGTTTTGTAAACTCTGTATTACAGCAGTTTGAAAGTCTTCTTAAATGAGTTCAAGGGTAAAGAGCCCAACTAAACCAGCCCCTCACTCTATTACGGTGACACAAAAAACACCTTAATTTCTGTTGGATCTCAATGAGAATAGTATGGAAGTCAAATCAGTCAGTTATAAGTGTGTGTCTGCTGTTGTTTGTGGAGTTGTTTAATGATCCTCTGCCGAGACTGAAGCTGTTTTATTTTATTTGATTTTATTTAATGTTGTAACTCAAGTCACTGTTTGTGTTTCTTGTTTATTTTCTTCAGTAATTGTAATTATTAACAGCAGGTGTTCATCAGTGTCTGAATTCACTCATTAGTGTTCATTAAAACTGTCAGGTGAACTATATTAGTTAACTAGTGTATGAAATAGTGAACAAGGACACAAAGTGTGATTTCAAACACAGACTTCAAAACATCGAATCTGAACTCTGTTAGCTCACAGTTTTCTGCAGTTGGTTACTTTCTCGAAAACAAAAATGTTACCCAGAAAGCACTGTTTTTAACAGAATATTACTGTTTTAGTGAAAAAACATTATTTTACCGTAGAATCTGACCGTTTTTTAACAGCAATTTTTTACAGTGTGCCATTCATCAAATTAGAGCTCAAAATGGTGATTTGGTAACGCATCCTAAAGAAATCAATGACTGCTTTACAGAATTTTATGAGCATCTTTATTCCTCAACCAGTCCAGTGATGAGTGACTTGGGACATAGCTTTCTCAATAAAGTGAACTTTCCAAAGCTTACTGATAGTGCTAAATAGGAATTAGAACAACCTTTCGATCTTAGTGAAATTCTGGGAGCAATTAATTCCCTTCCCAGTGGAAAAGCCACAGGTCCAGATGGGTATGGAATTGAATTTTATAAAGCAAATGCATGTACATTGGCTCTTCTCTTGCTTCGTATGTTAAATCACTCAATTGAGCTAAATAAGTTTCCTGACTCCTTATATGAAGCGTATGTGTGTCTTTTGAAAAAAAGACAGAGATGATACTGAGCCAGCTAATTACAGACCAATTAGTCTTCTTAACAGTGATCAAAAGGTTATCGCAAAAATTTTGGCTACTGGATTAAACAAACATGTGGATTCATTAATTCATTCCGACCAAACTGGCTTTATTTTGGGAAGGTTCTCCTTTTGTAACTCACGCCGCCTATTAAACATTTTATACAACAATCAGTCAAAAAAATCTAAGGCAGCAATCCTCTCCCTGGACGCAGAGAAAGCCCTTGACCGAATTGAATGGAGTTATATGTTTTCTGTTCTAGAGAGATTCGGCTTTGGTGAAAATTTTATTAGGTTAATTAAAATGCTTTACTTGGCTCCTAAGTCTGCAATTCTCACAAATTCTGATCGATCTGCATTTTTCCAGCTACAGCGGGGAACACGACAGGGGTGGTAATGGAACTACTTAATGGAAACACTTAATATTTTTGGTTCCTTCTCTGGTTATTCAGTTAATTGGGGAAAAAGTATGTTTTTGCCTCTGGGAGATGGCTTGGACTCTGGATTTTTTAAATCTCTGCCTGTTAAAATTGTAGATAATCATTTCACCTACTTGGGATTAATTATCCCCAAACATTTTAAGGATATTTATAGATTAAATTTTCTAGCGGCTATTAACAAATTAAAATGATCTATCGAGAAGTGGAGGATTCTTCCATTATCATTAATAGGCCGAATTAATGCCATCAAGATGGTTATTTTACCTCGTTTTCTTTATCTTTTTCAGAATTTACCCATATTTCTCCCAAAATCCTTTTTTAAATTGTTAGATTCTGTGATTTTTCCTTTCATTTGGGGATATAGGGCACACAGAATTTCAAAACCCCATTTGCAAAAGTCTAGGGAAGTGGGAGGGCTAGCAATGCCCACATTCCGTCAATACTATTGGGCAGCTAACATGAAGGCTATGATGTTTTGGCATGAGTGTGATCAAGTTGCTTCCGATCAGTCAGATATATGTCCTAAGTGGTTACAGTTTGAGGCTTGTTCAGTTGGCAACAGTTCTTTGGCTGCAATTTTGTGGTCGAAAGCTCTATCATTGAAAAAATTTCAATGTAAGAATATTATTGTTCTTAATTCTATTAAAATTTTAAATCAAGTGAAAATGGCATTAAAGATCGAGCATCCCTCTGTTTATTTACCTATCTGCAAAAATCATGATTTTGTGCCTGGACAACTTGATAAGATCTTCACTTTTTGGAGTAACAAAGGACTGCGTTCAGTAAAGGATTTTTATGTAGATAACAAACTGGCCACATTTGAATACTTATATAAAACTTTTGGACTCTCACAATCACACTTTTTTCGTTATTTACAGGTGCGTCATTTTATTAAACACAACTTTCCACAGTGCGAGGAAGTCTCTCTTGACCATGATTTGTACAAGCTTTTGAGGCAGTTCCCAATGGAGAAACATTTAGTGACCAAATTTATAGATCTGTTTTCTTCTCACGTCTCGGTCTCTACTGCACATCTGAAAGATTCTTGGGAGAGGGAATTAGGAATTGACATTTCATCCTCTACCTGGGAGGAGAGATTGAGTCGTATTCATTCTTGTTCTATAAATGTAAGGCTACAGCTCATTCAATTTAAAGTGATGCATAGATTGCACTATACAAAAGCCAAACTTAATAAGCTGTATCCTTCTGTCTCTCCTCTGTGTGATAAATGCAAAGGCGCAGTCGGGACCTATGGTCATATATTTTGGTCCTGTCCAGAAGTATCTGAATTTTGGAAAAGTATCTTCGGACTTTACTCCCAGGCTTTTGAAATGGACATAAAAACTGATGTAGAAATAGCATTGTTTGGATGGTCAGACCAGGCTCTAACTTGGCCTAAACATCAACAACTCTCCTTTATGTTTGGCATGGTGTTGGCCAAGAGAGTGATTCTGATGGAGTGGAAATCCACAACACCTCCAAATTTTTTTAAATGGTTAGCTGAAATGGTTTCTGCCCTCAAGTTGGAAAGGATACGCTTCTCTAGATTTGGCAAACAAAAGTTGTATGACAAAACATGGGGCCCCTTCCTTAGATGTATAGGTTATTAATGTTTCTGTAATATATTTTTTTTCTGTTAATATTTTTTTCTTCTCTCCACTTCCTTTTTACATGTTATTCTATTTTGTCTCTTATTCCATCAGTCTGGCTAAAATTTCTTTATTGTTTTGTGATGGTGCTGTAAAATTGCTGTTATGTTTGCTTGTGTTTTGGTGCATGTTCTAGTTAGTATAAGGTAATAACACTGAGACAAGTTTGTCAACATATATATATGATGTACATTATTTGGTGTTATGTTCTTACAAAAACTTCTATAAATAAAGTATAAAAAATAATAAAAAATAAACTGAATAATCAGCTGAACAGTAAAATATTTAGTGCTGTGAAAAATTCACTGTTACCACTGTTGCAGATAATGCTACGTTATAACGTTATAACAACGTTATAAGTTGTGCAACTATATTCATTTTTAGTCTCATTTTCAAATTTCAATAAATGATTCAGTTATTCACTCAAAAAAAAAAAAAAAAAAAAAAACATAAATTTGGGTGTGCTAGTTTTTGGACCGTTATCATAAGTTATTTTGTTAGATGAGCTCCAGATTTGGCTAATCTATTGTATATGCACAAATATAATATTGAAGAGCTTCCTATTAAACTATGAATTTAAAAGAGATTAGTGAGGGGTGTACTTATATATGCTGAGCACTGTATATTGTTCACCCAGAGTGTTTACATGGTCACACAGCAGTAACAAGCATTGAGTTTGGGCTAGCTTCTGCAGATGGACATTGCTGTACACTGCCCTTGATGGGTGAGTGGGGGAGTGTCTGTTGGCTCTCAGGTGTGAATTATTCATGAGCATTGTCACTCACACATACAGCTGAGATCACCCAAAACAAACCTAACAAAATGTAGATCACTGTAATGTTTTCTCTAATTGAGAGAACAGAATAATTTTCACACAATTGTGCAGTAAATATTCTAGTCTACAAGACTGCTTACTCTAAAGTCTTGTTCAGAGACAATGAGTGTTTTTTTTAACCTAATTTCAGCATTTTTTTTCTCCACAGCTTACTAACTACACATAATATTTATTTCTAAAACACAAGCATGTACATCCATATTTCTCACATATTATTGTAGCACAGTTTTTGCTGAATACTAATTAAATACATGTTGGCCAGTACTGTGTAATAAGTAGCTGAAATAAGCACAAATGTCAGGGCATGTCAAAACATTTCAGGGGTCCCAAAATCACCTCAGACCGCTGAGGGTTAACAACAGGTATAGTATGAGCAGTGTGAAACATAATTACTGATAAACCATAATTCCTGTTATCTGGGGTTTAGTATCACCCAGGGTTAACATGTTCAAGCATGAACAGCTCTAATATGAAACTGTCTGACTGTAGTTATTGTAGAGTGGAGAATCATTTACCTCATTGTCTCTAGTTTACAGTTCACACTCTTCAGTCCATCAGAGAGAAGCTTCACTCCTGAATCCTGCAGGTCATTGTTACTCAGGTCCAGCTCTCTCAGCACACAGTTTGAGGATTGTAGAACTGAAGACAAACTCTCACAGCACTGAGCAGTGAGATTACACATGACCAGTCTGAGAAAGAACACAGATTATGTTAACAGTGTGACTTTCAGTGATTTCTTTGATGTAATAAAACTGAATAACAAAGAAACAAAACAAAAAAATCAATCAGGTGGTTAAACTCAGACCTCAGTGTGTCCAGTTTACAGTTCACACTCTTCAGTCCATCAGAGAGAAGCTTCACTCCTGAATCCTGCAGGTCATTGTTACTCAGGTCCAGCTCTCTCAGCACACAGTTTGAGGATTGTAGAGCTGAAGACAAACTCTCACAGCACTGAACAGTGAGATTACAGCCCTGTAGTCTGTGTAGAGGACAAACACAATATTGATGTGGTCATCTGGGACCTCATTGATTAACAATACTTGCTCATAAAACAGACACCAGTCGATATGTTGATATTATAAAAGTACAGCGATACCCTAGATCTCAAAATGATATGATTCAGAATTTTTTAGTACCGGTATTTTAGGTGACAGCTGTAGTTGTGAGTGCTCGTCAATAGGGGGCAGTGTGGGAGCTGTGCACTTCTTCTATGGCAGGGGTCTTAAACTCGTGGCTCGATACTTATGGGACGATAGTTTGTGGCCCCGCCTTAATTTGAAAGTTTAATGTTAGTGTGGCCCGTGAGTTTGATATGTATGGCACTTTACAGTTTTGTTTGTTGAGGTAAACAAGCCCACCAATCACGGTGGGGTATATGGCTCTCGGGGGGCGGGACATCAGCTGAACTTGACGCAGACAGAGAAACATTTTCCACTGTGTGAAAGTTACAGCAGCGTTGCCATGGAGTGTTTCTCCGTGAATGCTGGCTGCCTTGTTTCTATTGGGCACATGTGGCAATCGTCCCAGCACGTTTCATTAACAACACTTCAAAAAAAGTTATTTAATTCTGTATGATGTAAAAGTAGTCAAAACAAATGACAACTGATTGATTGATTTTTTTTATTATTTTTAATTAGTTTATTTTTTTCATTTTATTTTGTGTTAAAAAACTCAATCATCTCAAATCTTTTTTTAATCTTTTTCACAAAATAAGATGAAAATATAAACAAAAGAAAATTAATTAATAATATAATTAATTTCTTGTGGAAAACCTGATATGGCCCAGCCTCACCCAGACTCTGCTTCCAGCGGCCCCCAGGTAAATTGAGTTTAGAGACCCCTGTTCTACAGCAAACTGAGAGTGTGTGTCTTTGTGTGTGTTGAGCTGATGAACTGAGGATTGTCCTCTCACACACTCTCTCCATAGTGACAAAACAATGCAGTGACCCAAACAGCTTGTGGACAGAACTGATTCATGAAGTGAAATTTGAAATTATTTTGCATGAGGTCCTGACTCTCTGTGGTCATTAACAATCCCAGAGCACTTCTCATAAAAAAGTAGGAATGTAACCTTAGGGTCCTGGCCAAATTACTGGCCCCGGTGTTCTGGCCAAATTCCCTCCATCGGCCCTTACCCATCATGGCCTCCCAATAATCCCCATCCACTGAATTGCTCTATCACAGTCTCTCCACTCCACCTACAGCTGGTGTTTGGTGAGCGCACTGGTGCCATTGTCCTGTAGCTGCTGTTGCATCATCCAAGTGGAGCAGCGCACTGGTGCTGGTGTGGAGACTCCCCTCCTCATGATTGTGAAGCACATTGGGTGTGTGGCCATACACAATACATGCACTATATAAATACACATCACACTACATTGCATGTTGTTGACAGTCAGGGCAAAGCTCTGTGCCTTGCTTGAAGCTTGAGTTTAACTGTACTGACACTATGCAGCTGTGTTGATGAATTACAGTGATTTTACTGTCTTTACTTCATTCAGTGGGTGGGAAAAACTACACTCCTACGTAGGCTTGGGCGGTGTCCAAATTTTGAGACCGTCAAACCGCCTCCATATTTTACCCCGGTATCCGGTATTACCGGCGTAATAAAAAAAATTATGACGTAAGGCTCAGACAGCGTCACCAAACTGTTGGCTTGAGCCTAAACCATTCAGAAACTGAATACCTTCTATGCGACCTTAGGCAGAGAGAGAGAGAGAGAGACAGACAGAGAGACAGACAGAGAGACTTTCTCTGTCTTACACAAACACACACACATCTCTCCCGCGATTTATTCAGAAATTTACTCCCACACCGTAAGAAATCTGGCCGGCTCCCGCGGGAATGCAGAGAGCTGTAATCGGGCCATAAAAATTATACCCGATAGGTCCCGAGTCCGACACGTACATTTTGATTGACAGCTTTATAAAGCCCGAGCCCTTACAGCTCTAATGCATTTTTTCAAGAATTAGTCATTCATATGTTTTAACAGCATTTATTCGTAACAAACGTAGACTATATCCCACTTGAAAGTTGGAACAAAGAAATAAAATAAGTCCTCTGTAACATCGTAACATCTCAGCACTCTATAGGTCTACATGCACTTAGCCTTTAAATTAGCCAACACACCAATGAAAAGAAATCTTGCTTAACAAATCAAATAAACTCTAAATGATGACGGGTATTTTGGCAGTAACTTAATTGAAGCTGAATATTAAAAGAATAATGCCACCATTAGTCTGTATAATCTGTCTACATTATGATTATATGGTTTAATTAATATTTATTTATAATTTAAAACCCTTTACTCACCAAGATTAGGCTACGTGTGTTTGTGAAGGAACATTATTAAATCCACTGGCTTTAGCGCAGTCTTGCGCTCATGTGCGTCCAGCAGCACTGAACACCGTTTCACTGCTACTGCTACAGGCCGAGATGCAGAGTTCTGATCTGGCTGATTTTGCAAGTTTTAGGTAGGATTGTTTATTCATCCTATACCAGTCAGGAACATCCATTTAATTTTCCATGACCGTAGTTTCAGGGTAGCGAGTGGCCTCGTCATTTTACCTGTCAGCTTGCGGTTTAGGGCTCTACCGTAATACGCAGAGTATGAGCGACCGCTAAATACCTGCGGCTGGAATAACCGCTCTTTCTGACTGGCTTGACCGCCGTCAAAATTATCTTTTTTTTACTACTTCGTCATAATTTGCTTCACCTTTGCAGGGATGGATTTTAATGCAGGGATTTAGATTTTTTCGGGTCTCGCCGGGTTCGGGCAAAGATCTTCAGCTCTAATGCAGACCTCTCGTTCATATTAACCACGTCTCCCTTCTGTTCAGTCTAAACTGCCAAACTGCAGTACACTTTGAAGCGCGACTCGTCACGTCACGTCTCCCTGTCCCTCTCTCCCTCTCCCGCTCCCCCTCCCTCTTCCTCTATCTCTCTCCTCCACACTGTCCCGTGATGACAACCACACACACGTTTTTTAGGCATTAAATAAAGGATATTTAATACTTTATGACGGTATAACGGTTTTGAAACTGACACCGTTGCTATTTTTAGATCCCGCGGTATACCATAATACCGTAATATCGCCCAAGCCTACTCCTACGTCTCATTGCGGTGGGTCTCAGATTTGCAGGAATTTAGACCTTATTTTAATGGCAGGAAATTTAAAATAAGAGACTGACTTGTGTTTCTATCACTCTGTATAGTATGACTGTGGACATACTACACTACACACAGATCTGTCCAAACTACTTACAACAGAGGATTTTCATCATAGGTGCCCTTTAAAGAGAGAGTTCACCGAAACATTTACTCAGACTCCAGTGGTTCAAACCTTAATGAGCTTCTTTATTCTGTTGAACACAAAAGACTTTTTAAGATGAAAACCATTAGCCATTGACCTTCAAAGAAGGAAAAACAAACGCTAGAAAGTCAATGCTAACAGGTTTCTGTTGTAAATGAGGGCGATGCCAATCCTCTTGTGCACCACCAGAGGGAGCCATCGCCCGAATTCTAATTCGACTCACGGACTCAAATTCCCATAAGCCCTGCTACCTGGCACTGATTGCGGTCCAGGTGCCTCTCATCATCTCAGCGTATTTATACCACACTCACGCTCTAGTTCTTTGCGAAGTCTTGATTTGCCCTGCTGTCATTTCTGAGCGTTCTATACTCCACTTCCCGGATTGATCTGTGCTTCTGACCCTTTGCTCGACTCTACGATTACAAAAGACATCTGCCTGCCCCTGATCTCCAGCCTGTTATTCTGACAAAGTAGATATCTGCCTGCCTTTGAACTCTTGCCTGTCCCTCGTTTTGATTCCTGGATTGCCCCTGGTTATTGTTTGTATGTGTGCTTTTAATAAAGCTTGCAAATGGATTCAATGCCTTCTGACTCATCACAACAGTTTCCATCTTTCTTCTAAATATTTTATTTCATGTTTAACTTTTAGAAAGGTTTTTAACCCCTTGAGGGTGAGTAAATTTACATTGTTAGGTAAACTATCCCTTAAACAACCACTGCCAACACATTAATCTAAATATTATTAAAAACATAATATTAAATAATAATCAATTTTTCACAGCATTTTGAAGTGCATAAAATATCAATATTGTACTTGTTCATTAACAATATGTATTGTATTATTTAATATCAGCAAATGTCTATTTCTTAGATGAAAGAAAGAAGGACTTACAGAGCTCTTTTGGAGGATTTAATGACTGCTGATATTCTGATGAGACACTCGTCTGATCTCTGGAATTTCTGAAGCTCAAACTCCTCCAGCTCCTCCTCTGAGGTCAACAACACAAAGACCAGAGCAGACCACTGGGCAGGTGAAAGGTCAGCAGATGACAGACTTCCACTACTGAGATGAGACTGAATCTCTTGCAGCAGAGTTTGGTCGTTCAGTTCATTCAGACAGTAGAACAGATTGATGGATCTCTCTGGAGACAGATTACCTTCAAGTTTCTGCTTGATGTAGGCAATTATTTCCTCTTTGCTTTGGTCACTGTCATCCTGCTGTGTCAACAGGCCTCGTAAGAGCTGTCGATTGGACTGGAGAGACAGACCGAGAAGGAAGCGTAGGTAAAGGTCCAGATGTCCATTCTCACTTTCCAGAGCCTTGTCCACTGCAGTCTTCAGCAAATCAGTCATGCCTCTATTTTTGCTCATCTGTATAAAAAACCATACATGCTTCTTGTTTATGTCTAGAAACAGTTGTTGATAAAGGGCTGCAATGAACTCCTGAATGCTCAAGTGGAGAAAGCAGTACATGGTACCAAGAATGATTCCTGTCTCCTCCTTAAAGATCTGGGTACACATGCCTGAGTACACCGATGCCTTATCGACGTCAATGCCACAGTCTTTCAGATCGCTCTCATAGAAGATCACATTGTTTCTTTCCAGCTGCTGGAAGGCCAGTTTCCCCAGTGAAAGGATGAGGTTTGGATCCCAGGAGACATCTGGTGTGTTTTCTCCATCATACTTTCTTCTGCTCTGCTGGATCTGAAAGCGGAGAAAGTGTATGTACATCTGTGTCAGAGTCTTGGGAGATTCCTGCAGTGTTTCAGCATGAGCCCTGTGTTTCAGTTTCAGTATGTTCTGGAGAACAGTGGCTGAAATCCAGCAGAAGACTGGTATGTGGCACATAATAAAGAGACTCTTTGACTGTTTAATGTGATCAATGATTTCTCTGGCCTGATTCTGATCTGTGAGTCTCTTTCTGAAGTACTCCTCCTTTTGGGCATCATTGAATCCTCGTATCTCTGTCAGCCGGTCGATAAAGTCAGCAGGAATCTTACTGGCAGCTGCTGGTCTGCTGGTGATCCAGATGAGAGCAGAAGGAAGCAGATTTCCCTTGATGAGGTTCGTCAGGAGAACATCCAGAGAGACTGCTGAAGATACATCACGACACGTCTCATTACCAGCAAAGTTCAGAGGAAGACGACATTCATCCAGTCCATCAAGGATGAACAGGACTTTGAATCGTGTGCTTCTTGTAAGGTCTAGTAGTTCAGTCTCTGGGAAAAACTGAGTTATGTGGTCTTTTAAACTTTGTCTTTCCTTCTCCATTAAGTTCATCTCTCTGAATGGAAGAGGAAATATGAAGCTGATGTCTTGATTTTCTTTCCCTTCAGCCCAATCCAGAACAAACTTTTGCACAGAGACTGATTTCCCGATGCCAGCAACTCCTTTTGTCAGGACAGTTCTGATCTGCTCGTCTTGTTCAGCTGCTTCAAACAAATGTTTGCATTCAACCTGTATCTCTAGTGACTGATGACGTCTGGAAGCAGCTTCAATCTGTCTGATCTCATGTTCAGTGTTGACCTGTTCACTCGCACCCTGAGTGATATAGAGATCTGTGTAGATGTTATTCAGAAGTGTGGAGTCTCCTTGCTGAGCAATTCCTTCAAACACACTTTGATATTTCTCCTTCAGGCTACATTTATGCTGATTAATGAAGGACAGCTCACCTAAACACAGGAGCAAATAAACAGAGACATTTAATCTTGACTTTTCCAGTTACATTAGTAAGTGTCAGTCAGACAGATGACCATGAGTCTCTTACCCTGGAGAGTATCAGCAGCTTGATCTTGCTTCATCTCTCTCAGGAAGAAGAGTGTGAGATCAAGAGCTGCTTCTGTGGTTCTGCTTCTGTTCTCATTAAACTCCTTTGCAAACTCTTGTCTGTTTTTGTCTTGTAAGATTTTCTTAAACTTTTCCAGTTGATTCTTCAGAAATCTGGACATTTTGCTCTCAAGATTCTATGATTGAAGAAATAAGAACAATGTTTAAATAAAACATTCATTAACACAGTTGTACATCTACAAACTACTCAATAAAGAAAAAAAAGACTATAAAAAAGATTATAATAGTCGAAGTTAATCGCTTGATTCTGATTGACTGATAAACTTTCTAAGTAGTGTTATTTTCAGATAAACACACAGCTAAAGCAGATTTTGCAGGTTTTGAGCACATGACAGTTCCATATCACTATCCTAAATGATTCCAGTTATTTCACAGTGAAAAATCACATCAAAACAACAGAAAGCTTTGGATTTGTAAGAAACTAGTTTCACACACAGGAGAAGTTTTAGGACAAAAACCTGACAAATGGCTGGAATACAACATGGTGGCTTTAGCTGTGGGAACATCAGCATCCCAGCAAACAGATTTCAATAATGAAGGAATAAAATTACAGTCTAATGCTTCTTTTGAATTATATACATGTGGTCATGCTTATTTTGCATAATGCATATGTGTTTGCTTGAACCATGATAATCTAATGAGCCCACGCAATGATATGATGAGACATTCTGTTTGACCTTAAAATGAGACAGGAACTTTTCACCCCTATAATGTCAAAAACCAAAATATGTAACAAACAAGTCTTGCAGAAAGTCCCTGTCTAGGTTGCAGCTGTGACGTGTGACTTTTCTATACAGAAAGGAGAACTGGAGCAGATGAGGAAAATATTGCTTTATTGTCTTACTAATCACTCTTTTCTTTTGATATATATTTGCTATTGGAGGAATATACTCCCATTTGCCTCACTATTCATAATTTACAATATGTGTTTTTGTCAGATATGATGATGTCTCCTGATATAGCGTACTTCTACTTAACCCCTGTTATAATGTGTTTCTAACTAACTGCTAAAACCACAAGAGCTGTGTGTGGGTGCTGGCTGGAGACAGATCTGCAAAAGTGCTTCCCCTAGATGGGTGCATACACAGGTCAAGAGTTCATAGACAGGACTAGGAGGAAAAGCAGATGTGGTAGATGCAGCATTTGTATACTGCTCTCTGTGTATGCGTGATTTATGATGCTTTAATAAAATTTATATTATCCTGATATCTCTATAAGGAAGTTATGATGCTCAGCTGTGCTTTGATGATTTTTTGCTACAGTTGCTTGCTGCACCCCAGATGTCAGTAGTGTCAAGTGTGTCAAGGAGAAGTGATACTTTCACCTGCCCTTTTGTTTCTGTGTGCAGAGGTATCTCTGTGTGCAGACCACAGACTTTTGAGAGATGATTCTGCCTGAAAACAGCTGATGGCAACAATAGAGATTGGGGGTAACTGATCAGAGGAGTGGCCAAAAAGATTGAACGCTGCTGATGGATAAAAGGAGGGAGTCGAGAGAGTTCGAGAGCTTTTGGACATCCAGACTGCTTGGCTGACGGTTCTTCAAAAGCCCAGGATCCTGACCTTCGCTTTATTCACTTATGCTCAATAAATAAATTAATTGATTTTGATTAATTGACTCCTGACCGATTATTGAATTGGGGTGGACTAAGGCAAGTGAGAAATAGTCCAACAATAATTACATTTATATTTATTTAAAAGAAGTCTAATAGATGTTTACTAACAGCCCAAAACGAGTCATCAGATATGCAGCAGTGTGAAGTCTGTCTGATCTGTGTATTTGTTGACTAGTCTAGTTTTGGACTATAGTTAGATGTTTATTATATTTTTAGGTTTATCAGCTTAAATTAAGCCTTTTTTGGTTTGGCTATTATTGTTTAGACATCTATTAGAAACTGCAGAATAATCCACTCTGGTCTGTTAAATTATTAAAGAATAATACAAACTAAATGTGTTACGGTGACTTTATGTGCATCACAGGTGTGAACTATTTTTGAGTAATTCAATGAACTGCAGTCAATTATTCTTTAAATAGATGAAAAATAACAGTTACAAATGAAATGTGTTGCAGAAGCAGGATCTTTCTCAGTGACCATTTTTTGTGTTATATTTACAATTTAAATATGAATCAAAATGAGTTTTTCCCACCTGGAAGATCCACTCGAGATTGACTGTGATACTCTTGTGGCTCCTGTGAGTCTCGTCTCCTGAATCTGCTAACTCATATTCAACACTGTTAACAGATAAAACTACTGTAATAATACATTTAGAGGCAAACAAATACAGATATATATCTTACAAACACTAAAAATAATGATATTGATATATATTTACAAAATAGTTGGGTTTAAAACATCTTCAAAACTTGTTTTATGTTACACAAACCATAGAAATAATATTTGAAAAGGCATGACAGTGAGTAAAAGATGACATGAACAACCTATTTTTTAATACTGACACTGAATAAGAAACTAAATCTGCCACTCTGTGTCTGTAAATGTGTAACCAAAGTCATTGAGTCATTCAATTCATTCACACAACTGATTCATTCAGGAAAGACTCTCTTTACTGAACTGTTGGTTCACAATAATATACCTGAAACAATCCATGTGTGATCAATGATGTAAAATACAAAATACCTTTGGGCAGATGATGGTGTTTTCTCTCTAAGGTTTGGTGGTTGACCCATTGACCGGTCACTCTTGAGAGACACAAAGCCGGACACACGTGATCCTGATCTCACACTGAACACACAAACACACCAGAGGAATAAACTGCAGGACAATCTTCAGTCTCCTTAGTACACCTTGTAAGACTGACAGATGAGACAGTTATTGGGAAAAAAAAAAAACATTTCACCCAGCACCAAACTAGCACAAAGTAACTCTTAGCTCAAGGTCAGGCTGATCAGGTCTGTTAAACAGATTAGACGTACGGGGAGTATTCAGACCCACTCTTTGTTTTATTGCAGCCATTTGCTAAAATCATTTAAGTTAATTGTTTCCTCATTAATGTCCACACAACAACCCATACTGACAGAACAACACTGAACTGTTGATGCTTTTGCAGATTTATTAAAACAGAAAAGCTGAATTATCACATGCTTCAGACCCTTTGCTGTGAACTCAGGTGCCGTCCATTTCTTCTGATCACCCTTGAGATGGTTCTTCATCTTCAGTTGAGTCCAGCTGTGTTTGATTACAATGATTGGACTTGATTAAAGCCACACACCTGTCTATATAAGAGCTTACAGCGCACAATGCATCTCAGAGCCAATGAGAATCATGAGGTCAAAGGAACTGATTGAAGAGCTCTGGAAAAGGTTACGGAAACATTTCTGATGCACTGAAGGTTCCTCAGAGCACAATGGCCTCCATAATCCTTAAATGGAAGATGTTTGGGACGACCGGAACGATTTCTAGAGCTGGCCAAACTGAGCTGTTGGGGGAGAAAACCCTTGGTGAGAGAGGTGAAGTAGAATCCAAAGATCACTGTGGCTGAGCTCCAGAGTGGGAGAAAGCTGTAGAAAGTCAACCATCACTGCAGCCCTCCACCAGTCAGGGCTTTATGGCCCAACAGAAGTCTCTCCTCAGTGGAGTTTGCTAAAAAAAACACCTGAAGGACTTCAAAATGCTGAAAAAATAAGATTCTCTGGTCTGATGAGAACAAGATAGAACATTTTGGCCTTAATTCTAAGCGGTATATGTGGAGAACACCAGACACCAGATCACCTGTCCAATACAGTGCCAATAGTGAAGCATGGTGTTGGCAGCATCCTGCTGTGGGGTGTTTTTAAGCTGCAGACACAAGACGACTGATAGCAATTGAAGGAAATATGGATGCTTCACACCAACTGTGACTGTTCTTGAATCTTCCAGCCTAAGCCCTGACTTAAACCCAATTGAGCATTTCTGGAGACACCTAAAATGGCTGTCCACCAATGTTTACCATCAAACCTGACAGAACAGCAGAGGATTTGCAAGAAGGAATGGCAGAAGATCCCCAAATCCAGGTGTGGAAATCTTGTTGCATCTTTCCCAATAAAGACTCATGATTGTATTAGATCATAAGGGGGCTTCTGCTACACACTGAGCAAAGGGTCTGAATACTGAGCACCATGTGGTATTTCATTCATTCATTTCATCTTAGTCCCTTTATTCATCAGGGGTCGCCACAGTGGAATAAACTGCCAACTTATAGAGCATATGTTTTACACAGCGGATGCCCTTCCAGCTGCAACCCATCACTAGAAAACACCCATACACTCACTTATTCATTCATTTTCTTTTTGGCTTAGTGCCTATATTTATCGGGGGTTGCCATAGCAGAATGAACCGCCAACTTTTCCACCACATGTTTTATGCAGCGGATGCCCTTCAAGCTGCAACCCATCTCTGGGAAACATTCATACATACTGATACACTACAGACAATTTAGCCTACCCAATTCACCTCTACCGCATGTCTTTGGACTGTGGGGGAAACCATGTCGCCATCATGTGTTATAATCGGATCAAAAGTGTGTCCTACTCAGTTGTGCACATATATTTTGTATAAATCATGTACATCTCGTACCTTCAATATAAATTATATATATCTTGGTGTTTCCATTAGGTATTTTTTATTAAATATTCCAAATTGTGCAAGAAAATATGTGGATGGAAACATCGCTTGTGTAAAACTTGTTTGGCAGTAAAACGTATGAAAGCTGCTGATTACAGAACTCTACATTGAAGTTGAAATGGCTTAATTGTCTGGATTTGGACATTCTGCCAAACATTTCAGATAATTTAAGTACATCATTCAGCAAATTCATAAAACTCTTCTAGTGGTTTCTGGAAAATCTTACAGTACCGTTATACCTGTTTTATTGTATTTATGCTATTGTTTATGATCAATTTTCAGGCATCTGTTTTATTAATGATCATTCAATGTGTAAATAATGTATTAGAACTTAATATTTTAACATTTAATACAAAGTCTATACACAGATGCATATTTCTGAACAATAAAATCTCATGATGAATACTAAAATATTTGCAAACAGTTCATGTGTGATCAATAATGTAAAACACACAATACCTTTGTGCAGATGATGGGGTTTCCTCACTGAGGTTTGGTGGTTGACCCATTGACCGGTCACTCTTCAGAGACACAGAGCTGGACACACATGATCCTGATCTCACACTGAACACACAAACACACCAGAGGAACAAACTGCAGGACATGCACATTTGTAATAAATACATTTCTAGTTGATCCTCATTTAATCTCTTCTATAAGCACAAGCTAAAACTGTTCTGAAGTCAGTTTTAACTCTGATATTGAACAGGACTTTAAACAGCACACATGATGACATATATTCAGCTCTGGTAAATATCCTGATGAAGCTGTCTGTAACCTACAGTAGATTGATTTAAACACATTTGCTGAAGCTGTAAACTGAAGCTTTGTCCATCATTTGATCAGGCAATAGCAACACAAATAAGCGCATTGTTGTTGGTCTTTGTTCTTCAGAGAAAGTGTTGAAATAATGGTGTAAAAACAGAGTCAATACCTGTGTTTCTCTGAGAGAGAGTCCTTTACTCCCTCCTCTGCCATACTGCAGCTAAAACACCAATGCAGACATTAGCAGAGCTTAGAGGAAACAATCATATATATATATATATATATATATATATATATATATATATATATATATATATATATATATATATATATATATAGTCCTTAACATGAATGCAGTTGGTTTAACCCCTGATCTCACATCCCAGGTGTTTCACATTTGATTTAAGATACATGCATGTAATATAGAGTTTATCAAGAGAAGTTCAAGTTTAGCCAAGTGTTGATTTAGTTAGTATTAAAATGTCTCTCTACTAAAGAGGCTTTTTGGTTATTGAGTTACTCTGACAGTAAAGGGTTAAATGCAGTGTTGTTTAAGGATCGTCAGCTTGTTGTTTTCAGCAGCTTTTCTTCCTGTTCAACTGGAAGGTCTGCTTTAACTTTACTTTTGATTTGGTGACTCTGAATGTTTAGAGTTATATTTAATGCTGAATTATTGGACACTATTGAGTCAGTCTGATATAGAAGAGAACAAACACTGTAAAGGGATTAAAAATAAAGCTTTTAGACACAGTGTTTAAATGACCGTGTTTGACTCAGTGTTTAATCTGTGTTTGAGGATTTGATCTTCAGGATCAGATATTTAAATCACACTCACACATATAAAACCCTTCATCATCTCCACAAACCAGCATAATGTAAAAGTGTTAAACTCACATGCAGAAGTACAGACGCTCTTGTGCAGCAGGAACACAATCTGAGCTCTTTCACTCTTTCACTTCACTAAAATACATCTGTGTGATCTACAGGTGTATCCTGAAATATTATTGGCTCCACAGAGTGACACTCACATGAATATTCATGAGATTCTCCTGACTGTGGGCGTGTCCTGAAGACAACACACAAACCACTGGAGCTGAAGATATCTGTGCAGATTCTCTGAGCACGAGTGTGTTAAAGAAATATTGGAAAAGTATAATATAGTGTATATATATATATATATATATATATATATATATATATATATATATATATATATATATATATATATATATATGTGACCTTTATACTTCACTCCCGAACCCACTTCATTCACCCTTCAGCAATACACACACACTGGACTCGGATGAGGAGGATTTTATTTTGCCCTGCACACAGAGCAGTAACAGTGAGATCAACACGGTTTAACTTAGCATCCACATCCACAGCAGTTCTCCCTAACTCTGCTGCAGTCTATATTGAAAGCTTATATTATTATTATATAAAACAAAGACAGAAGTATAAAAATACAGAAAATGCGTAACTAATATCACTGAATAAACCTTAACACAAAATATAATAGAAAATTATCTGCACACAGAGCAGTAACAGTGAGATCAACACGATTTAACTTAGCATCCACATCTAAAACACATATAACTCCATTAGCACTTGCTGTATAAGCACATGGGGGAAAATATCAAGATGAGATTAAAAGTATCAAAATCAAACAAATATGAAAAGAAAACCCACTCTGTCGATCAATAAATGTATATAAAGTGTGATAGACTTTTAAAGCTGCATCCAATCAATCATTTAAATGATATTTTTATATTTTAGTGTGGAGCTAACACAAACCCGACTCACCCACAGCAGTTCTCCCTAACTCTGCTGCAGTCTATACACAGACTCTGTGCGCAATAGCGCCACCGGCGAACTAGCAGGAACTGCACTCCCATTAAAGCAGGATTTAATACTGAACTATTAACATGGTATATATTTACTTCGTTACATACACCCCCCTTAAATCCTGCTTAATGGGGACATGTATGTTAACCAAACAAACTAACATTGAAGAAAAGAAAATGTAAAAAAAAATTCAATACATGGGACATCTACTTCATGTATTCAATCAATAAAGGAAGAAGGGGAAAAAAAAACATATGGAGTATGATTCTGTCAATCAATATATTCTCCTATGAGGAGTACAATAAGATAAGGGAGGCGCCTAACCCCAATCTTATAGCAGATGTTCTTGGGGTTCATCAACTGGAAGAAAGTTCACAGGTAACAGCAGATTTCTAAGAACTACCCTCACTTTGTCAGAGTTGACTTCCCGAATCCTGTAAACATTGATATTAGGATACACCGTTATGACTTCATATGGAGATGACTCCCATTTGTCAGCAACTTTTCTTCTTCCTTTTTCACCTCTGTTTGCAACCAACACTCTATCCCCAACAGCTAATGGGCAACCCTTCACCTTCCTGTTGTAAAGTCTGCCATGTCTGTCCGTTTCTTTTAGAGTGTGCATCTGAGCTATACGAGCTGCTTCTCGCAAGTCTCTTCTCAGTGTGGACACAAAGTCCTTGTAATCCACAACATCCTCATTAAGAAGCACATTCTGAAATAAAACATCAATTGGGAGACGAGGAACTCTGCCAAACATGAGAAAGAATGGCGCAAAACCCGTTGTCTCATGTTCTGTGCAGTTATAACAGAAGGTAAGTTGCTGTAGCATTTGTGGCCATTTTGACTTTGTTTTAGGAGGCAACGTCCTGATCATACTTCCAAGTGTTCTATTGAACCTTTCTGCAATGCCATTACCCATGGGGTGGTATGGTGTAGTGTGTGACTTGTCTACACCTGCCATGGTCAATAGTTCCTTGATTAGTTTACTCTCGAAATTAGCCCCTTGGTCAGAGTGAATTCTTTTGGGGAATCCATAAACCAGAAAGAAGTCATTCCAGAGCCTCTTCGCAACTTGCTTGGCCAACTGATTCTGATATGGGAACGCATGAGCCATTTTTGTAAAATGATCAGTCACTATTAGCACATCCACGCATTTCCCATCTCTGAGCTCTGCCGACCAGAAGTCAATGCAGACTAGTTCCAAGGGTTCAGATGTTCGGATACTTTCCAATGGAGCACAAGCATTGGGTTCTGAGGTTTTACCAACTACACATCGATGACAGGTCTTCACATAATCATCGATATCTTTTTTCATTCCGATCCAAAAGAACCGTTGTCTTGCCAGTGATAGTGATCTACTACGCCCTTGATGTCCTGCTGCATCATGGATTCCATGAAGAACTTGAGCCTTCAATGAAGCAGGTACAACAACAAGGTACAATTTCTTGTTCAGTTTTGGATCTCTTTTCACCTTATAAAGCACTCCATTACAAATAGCCAGTTTGTCATGATGTTTTAGTAGTTGTCTAACACTTTTAGTCTCCTTTGCTTGTTCTTTCTTAGATGGTTTTTGACGTCGCTCAATATAATAGAGAATCCGATGCAAAGTGGTATCCTGCCCCTGCTCACTAATGATGGTACTGTGTAGCAAAGGAGGACTATCCTGTTGTGGTTGAAAGAGAGGAGGAACTGCCCCCATCACTTCACTCAAACCACCAGTCGAATGTGCTGCTAGTACAGCAGAAACTTCCTGATTTCCAAAAGATCCTGAATGCATGGATTCATCACTGGTAGAGTCACATGAATTTTCACCAACTTTCTTTACTGATTGATGGTTATTTACGCACTTGAAAGCATCTTGGACTGAATTATCAACAACACCACTGACATCCTTCAAGAGAGATAAGTATGGTTCAGTAATGAGGCGGTGTCCTATGCAAGACTCAACAAATGGCTCACGGCTCAGAGCATCCGCAACAACATTTTTTGTTCCTGGGACATACTTTAGATCAAAGCTGTAAGAAGCAAGTTTTGCCACCCACCTTTGCTCACATGCATCAAGTCGTGGTTTAGTTAAAATATATGTTAGAGGATTATTGTCAGTCCATGCCGTAAAGTGTCTTCCTCTCAACCAGTGGCTAAATTTCTCGGTGATTGCCCACTTTAAAGCAAAGAACTCCAATCTATGGGCTGGATAGTTCATTTGCGAGCGAGATAAAGTTCGGCTAGCGAAGGATATGGGTCTGGCAATATCCTCACCTGGCAAAACTTGCGACAACACAGCTCCAACACCATCAAAAGATGCATCGACAGCCAAGATAAAAGGTTGGTCAAAATCTGGGTGAGCCAATGTCACATTTTTTGTCAAGTCTACTTTCAGAGTCTGTAAAGCCTCTTCACATTCTGCTGTCCAGTCGGCTGGGGAAAGTTTTAGGTAAGTAACTTTCTTTTTTGGTCTGCGTCCTTTCATGACAGGAGTCTGTTTGACTGTGCCTGATGTCAACTTGAATAGAGGCTTAGCTTTTGCCGAACATCCTTCAATGAAATGTTGATAATATAACACCATTCCGAGAAAGGATCTGATTTTTTTTGACAGGGTGTTTTTCCATCAGGTTCCATTAAATCAGAAGCTTGAATCATGTTAATTGCCTCGACTTTCCCTGGGTCAGTCTTAATTCCTTCCTCACTAATGATGTGTCCAAGGAATTTAACAGAGCGTCTCAGAAAACAACATTTCTTTGGAGCCAGTTTCAGATTGTGATGGGACAACCGTGAGAGAACCATTTCAAGACGTTGAAGGGCCACAGACTCGGAAAGGGCAAACACCATCAAATCATCAAGGTAACAGAGAACACTGCTGAAATTCTCATCTCCAAAGACTGACATCATCATTCTCATAAAAGTGGCAGGGCTATTAGAGAGACCCTGAGGGAGCCTATTATACTCGTGAAGTCCAAATGGGGAAGAGAAAGCAGTGTACTTTTTGTGTCCTTCTTCCAGTGGAACATTATAATACCCCGAGGTGAGATCCATTGTTGAGAAGAATGAGTTTCCACCCAAAGCAGCCAACACATCAGACTGATGAGGTAACGGGTAGGCATCTCTAACAGTCCTCGCATTTAACCACCTAAAGTCAGTGCAGATCCTGAGATCGCCATTTTTTTTCCAAACGAGTACGAGTGGGGACGCATAGTCGCTATGCGACTTGCGAATTATTCCTTTTTCCTCCATTTCGTTTAAAGCTATTCTCAGTTTGGCATACTGGCTTGGTGGTACACGCCTGTATGGAAAACGAAAAGGCTTTTCATCAGTGAGGTTAATTCGATGGACAAATCCTATTGCCTCTCCACAATCCATTTTGTCTCTAGAAAAAACAGACTCATACCTCTCAATAATGCTCAACAAATTGTCTTTCCAGCGAGCTGACACTTCACATGACTCCAAATCAAGGTCCCCAAGATTCAAGTCACTCAAGACCTGCTTCATCTCATCCTCTTACCTAACCGGTAAGGGTTTTTCAGTACACTGCAAATTTGAGTGAATCTGTCTTGGCAGCGGTAAATCTTGAACGGCAATACAAGGTGACACATCAGCTATTTTTGCATTTCTCTTTAACACAACTCTGCGATTAGTGGGGTTGATGACTTTTAAGGGGATAGAACCATCTCCCCATAGTGGTGTTATGATCCTCCCGACCAGTATGTTTCTCGGTCTTGATCTGAACATTGTCGGCTCTACAACAACAGTACTGCCAATTGACAAGACAGTCTGTGGCTCTAAAACAACACTCCTGTGTAACTTTACAGTACCAACTTTGTTTGGTATGGATTCTCCTCTCCATCTTTCCGTTTTAGAGAGAAGAGATAGAAACATAGAGCATTCATCACTCTCACTGTCATTTGACTTAGACATGAGCCTCCAGTAGCCATTAGTTTCTCTCAAATGCATCAGAAGTTCCTTTATGACATTTGTGCCCAAAATCATCTCTTCAGTTTGTCCAGGCACAACCATAGCAGGAATTAACATGGGGCAGCCGTACACTGTAGCTTTGAGATCATAAACTGCGGTAGGGGTAATATGGTGACCACCACAACCAACTATAACAATGTCTTGTGCTGACTGACTGGTAATTGTTGGGTTGCTTTCCAGTAGCTTTTTTTCAGTGGACTCGCTAATAGTACACGCCATTGATCCGCTATCGATTAAAGATTTAAGGATAAGATCTTTTTCAACTGAAACAGACGTGTGGAACAAACTATCAGCTCTTGGAACTTTCTGCACCCCCTGAAATATAACAGTTTTATGTGGAGATGTTTCACTGATCATTTGGCATAAAGACTCATAATCCATTACATCATCAAAATCAGTTATGGGAGATTCACTCTTAAGATCTACGTGATCCTCCCTCACACATAGATCATTTAGTTTGCCTGCTGATTAACTGAGGTAGAATTTCTCCTTTCCTTTGGACACTTGTTTCTGGCATGGCCAGATGAGAAGCACAGAAAGCACAGCCTGTTATCTCTACAGTGAGTAAAAGCAGAATGTGAGGGGTCTTTGCACACTAGACATGGTGAATCATTCAAACCCGGAATTCTGGGCATGTTGCTTCTATTCCAATTCTGCTTAGTAGCCTGTGCATTGCTACAATTATTCATCAGTACTCTTTCCAGCATATCAATCACCTTTTCTAGAGCCATGTTTTCAGATGGTTTAGACTGAAGTGAATCCTGTTCAACTTTTACTGTGCAAGAGCTAGGACTAACATGCATCTCATTCACAGAAAATTTCTTCTCACATTGAGAAAGCCCATGTGCTTTTCCAGAAGCGCTGAGGTTTTTTTCCAAATGATACTCATTCAGAATCTCATGCACTTCATGAGCTGTCCATTTGTCGATGGTTTTTGAGCGAAATGTCAGTGCAAGCTCTGAATTTGGACAATTCCGAATAAACATGCGTGTGACTTCGATTAATTGATTGTCTAGCACCTTTCCTTGTTGTTTTAGACACTCAACTGTGATATCTGCAGCACGGTTTAAACGCAGCCAGTAATCGAAGGGATCCTCCTGAGGTTCTGGGAGTGTAGTGTAGAAATCTTGTAACGGAATAGGAGAATACTGTTGGCAACTGAAATGCTTTCGTAATAGAGTGTAAACTGCATCAGGATTTGATTTGATATCCAAACTGCTTGACAGCATCCCCACTTTAACAACATCTTTGGCTTTGCCCCTCAAATGTATCAAAATTTCCTCCCCCTGTTCATCAATAGGCAAAACTCCCTTCCTTATAAAGTTTTTCATGAGCTCCACCCATTCTTCGACTGTAACAGTGTCCGTTTTGTTGCCTTTGAAAATCAGAGGGTCTCTAATTTCCCTTTGCCGTACTACTTGGATCTGTGATGCATTTAACATGGACTTTTGCTCAGGTGTGTATTTACTACCATGATCAGTTTGAGTATGCCTTGATGCCCCTTCTGTTTGACTGTGCAAATTCAAGTGTGTAAGTATGCTATCCGCTAACTGTTGACCTACTAGCTGTACTATGTTACCCATCTGACTCATCATGTCATTGGCAGAGACTGGGGTTGAGGTGTTAATTGGCTGGGCACTGTCAGAACTAGTATAATTCACATAAACAGGGTCCACATTAGAATCCTGACAATGAATTACATTCGCTTCTAACCCAACATTATTGTTTACACCACACATAGTAGGGCTAGGGCTAATGTCCGGGAAGGGAATTGGTGTTGCTAATAAACCTCTTCCTCGACCAATACCAACAGGAGTGCCCACATAATGGGATTTAGTCAACTTTGCGTGCTCCATAAGCAATTAAGTAGTGCATTCAGTGTGAAAAAGAAAGTAAAAAAATCATAAAATTGATGTGCTATTAAGTTTCAATAATACCAAACCACTTTTTGGTGTAAACTTGTCAGATAGTCCATCTATCAGTGCTTTTTTTTCCGTTTGTTGTTTAAAGTCCTTGATATAAAGTCCTGGATTAACTAATAAAAGCTTAGCTGCTGGGCTTGTGCAGTGAAGGATGAAGACTGGCCCACCGGTTCGATGTTTGGATGATCTTCGACCACCTTGATTGAAGTCCTGAGTCACGGCACCAATGTGACCTTTATACTTCACTCCCGAACCCACTTCATTCACCCTTCAGCAATACACACACACTGGACTCGGATGAGGAGGATTTTATTTTGCCCTGCACACAGAGCAGTAACAGTGAGATCAACACGGTTTAACTTAGCATCCACATCCACAGCAGTTCTCCCTAACTCTGCTGCAGTCTATCTTGAAAGCTTATATTATTATTATATAAAACAAAGACAGAAATATAAAAATACAGAAAATGCGTAACTAATATCCCTGAATAAACACATTTAATACCTTAACACAAAATATAATAGAAAATTACCTGCACACAGAGCAGTAACAGTGAGATCAACACGGTTTAACTTATCATCCACATCCACAGCAGTTCTCCCTAACTCTGCTGCAGTCTATACACAGACTCTGTGCGCAATAGCGCCACCGGCGAACTAGCAGGAACTGCACTCCAATTTAAGCAGGATTTAATACTGAACTATTAACATGGTATATATTTATTTCGTTACACATGTGCCCTCCAAATGAAATGAATCTGAAGTTAAACCTGCCTCCTGATAGATTTAATTTAAGCCTCAGTTTAGTCCTGAAGTTGCTCTAGTGTTCCTCCAGGAAATCAGCCTATTCAGTCCTGGACTACACTAAGTCCTAGACTTTTTAAAACCGTGACAGGGAAAGCACATTTCTGTTAGTCTGATCTAAATGGCCATTTCAGCTACGCTTAATCTTGGTCCAGGAAACTACCTCTTAATAAAGTAAAGGAAAGCCATGTAAAAATATTACAGATATATATATATATATATTACCCATGTAATGATTTATGTGTTAGATTTGTAAAAATGAGTCAGACACTATTATTAAATGACTGTTTCAGTTGTGATTACACTAAACTATTCTGGTTCCTCGTTATCTCATTATTATATTTTACTGTTCTGTAAATTGATCATTATAACTGATTTAGATAATCTTGTTTATGAATTGTGAACTAAAACTCTTACACTATTTGGAAAATATCACATTCACTAAACACAATGTGCTAACTGATCCTCAATCTGTGAACTCTTTTCCACTGATCAAAAGGTTTTAATGATTCCCTGATTTCAATACAGAGTTACTGTAAAGATCTATTAAGATATTTAGGTATTAAATATCTGTATTTAATTTAACATTCCCTTTCATAATGATTTGTGTATAACAATGCATTTACTTATGTTATTTCTCTTTAAACAAATAATAAAAAGAACAAATAAATGAATAAAAGCTGTTAAGTAAGATTTTTTTACTAATAATAATAAGTCATTTGTCACAACCAAGACACGTCAACCCCGTCTTCCAGTTTCTGAGGAAAATTATTTTTATTTTATTTCAATATTTTTATTGACTTTTTATTCTGAATTTTGAGAAATGATGACACACAAACTTTTCATTAAAGCTGTCCTGTTCTTGTCTTTGGAGAATTTAGAAAAGCTTTTTTATATATATATAATCTATTTCTAACAGCGAGTATAGACAAACAGATACAATGATTAAAATAAGAGTTGAAAACACCTTTAGAAATAGAAAGATAATACATGTACATTCAAATTATGTGTTGCAAACAATAAATAAAAGACAAACTACAACATTTGAACTAAATTTAATACTGTTTAATGGCTTTCTTGATTTGTCCTGTTTAAACATTATTCATTTGTGTGTGCTGTTTCTCTTCACTGGGATCTTCAGTTATTTTAGCATCCTACCCAAAATAATAATATTATAACAGAGAGATCTGTATGAGGTGTACTCATTTATATAGAAATCTCTAATCTTATTTTATAGGTTCAACATTGCTGTAAATATTCTTCAAAGACCTCTTAGATTTCATCTTAAATAGCTTCTCTAAATCTTCCTTCAACACACTTGTGCTCAGAGAAGCTGCACAGATATCTTCAGCTCCATTGTTTTGTGTTGTCTTTAGGACACGCCCACAGACAGGTGAGTCTCATGAATATTCATGTCAGTGTCACTCAGTGTAGCCAGTAATATTTCAGGATACACCTGTAGATCACACGGGTGTGTTTTAGTGAAGTGAAAGAGCTCAGATTGTGTTCCTGCTGCACAAGAGCATCTGTACTTCTGCATGTGAGTTTAACACTTCTACATTACGCTGATTTGTGGAGATGATGAAGGGGTTTTATATGTGTGAGTGTGATTTAAATGTCTGATCTTGAAGATCAAATCCTCAAACACAGATTAAACACTGAGTCAAACACGCTCATTTAAACACTGTGTCTAAAAGCTTTATTTTTAATCCCTTTAAAGTGTTTGTGCTCTTCTATATCAGACTGACTCAAAAGTGTCCAATAATTCAGCATTAAATATAACTCTAAACATTCAGAGTCACCAAATCAAAAGTAAAGTTAAAGCAGACCTTCCAGTTGAACAGGAAGAAAAGCTGCTGAAAACAACAAGCTGACGATCCTTAAACAACACTGCATTTAACCCTTTACTGTCAGAGTAACTCATTGTATATATATATATATGTATATATATATATATATATATATATATATATATATATATATATATATATATATATATATATATATGATTGTCTCCTCAAAGCTCTGCTAATGTCTGCATTGGTGTTTTAGCTGCAGTATGGCAGAGGAGCGAGTAAAGGACTCTCTCTCAGAGAAACACAGGTATTGACTCTGTTTTTACACCATTATTTCAACACTTTGTCTGAAGAACAAAGACCAACAACAATGCGCTTATTTGTGTTGCTATTGCCTGATCAAATGGTGGTAGTTTTCCTCTTAGCTGGTACTTGGTGAAAAATGTTGGAGATCTACTGGTTTAAAGCCTGTTGTGTAGAGGTACAAGAGAGACCTTTGCACACTTGTTTTGATATGTCTGAAAACCTTAAAATAAACCCCTCAGCTGTCAGAACACAGTAAACACAGTAAGTGTGTTTGTGCACACACTAATCTGTGGTTTTACTCCAATGAACTCCATATGAAATGCAGAAACTATTCAGCTCAGGCCGATCTAAAGGGTTAATGCTGACATCTGATCAACAGTAAAAATTCTTTCCAACCAGCACCAATCAGAACTGCATGATCAGATGCTGATGTTGCTTCATTATATAAAGTCATTGGGGTAAAAACAGCCACAAACATAAGCCACAAACATTAGCAATACACAAAGATTAATACAGATATACATGTTAAACTTAATGTGTAGTTCAGTGAAGGGAATTTTGTTTATTTTTTTGTCTTTTGTCATTTATTTTTATTAATGTTTTGTTTTTTATGGTTGAGCCAATAATTAGTTTGCCCTTAATTAAACTACACAAACTCCTATTTGTCTGATAAACTCTTCTAAAGGAGACTGAAGTTTGTCCTGCAGTTTATTCCTCTGGTGTGTTTGTTTGTTCAGTGTGAGATCAGGATCATGTGTGTCCAGCTCTGTGTCTCTGAAGAGTGACTGGTCAAAAGGGAATCCACCAGAGTTTAGTGGGGAAATGCCATCATCTGCACAAAGGTATTGTGTGTTTTACATTATTGATCATGCTCACATCAACAGTTTTGTGTAAACCAACAATTCAGTAAAGAGAGTCATTCCTGAATAAATCAGTTGTTTGGATTAATCAAATGACTTTGGTGATTCATTAAGACATTTACAGACACCTGGCGTCTTATTCAGAGGATCTTTCATTAAATATTAATATCAGATTTATGTTGATTATTTCATTTGTGGAACATGAAAGATGTTTTGAAGAAGTTTATAACCATATTGTTGTGTAAATATATCTAAATAAAGGTCAAGCTTTTGAAGGTAAATGTAGCTGTGTTGTTTTGTAGCTAAAAGTTTGTGTAATAATGAACTGTAAATCAAATATTTATTTCAAAGCTGACTTTGTGGTTGACAGGGCTTTGTAATGACAGAGACAATAGTATGTGATTTCTCAGCTCAATGTAACAGAAAACTCAAGTAACAAATCTGTCCACTACCTCCCTATTATGAGCACTACATGTATTATTTTCAGTGTTTGTAAGATTTGTCTGTGTTTGTTTGCCGCTAAATGTATAATTACTGTTGTTTTATTTGTTAACAGTGTTGAATATGAGTCAGCAGATATAGGAGACGAGACTCACCGGGTACACAAGAGTTTCACAGACAATCTACAGTGGATCTTCCAGGTGTGAAAAATAGTTATTTAAAAAATATACTGCTTAATTAAAATGTAAAGCAATTAATTTAAGTAATCATTGACTCCAGTTCATTGGATTATAATAAAATAATGCACAACTGTGATTCTCGTGGAGTCTCTGTTACCCCTCTGTGTGCGTTATTTTCTAATAAATTAATGGATTAGTCAATTATTCTGCATATTATTTTGGTTCAATAGATGTCCAAACGAGGATTGCTTGACTAAAGGCTAAGTTTGAGCTTTTGTGGAACTTTAAAAGTAATCCAAATCTAGACTAACAATACAAAGATTAGACAGACTTCACACGTGCAGTCATTCATTCATGTGTATTTGATGATTAGTCTAGTTTGGGCTATTCTTTCATGTCTACTATATTTTCACTGACAGATAAATGTAAGCCTTGTTTAAGCTAAAACATCAATGTTTAGGTGTCTATTAGAGTTTAAACACACACAAATTATTAGTTATTTTAAACACACAAAAAACATGCTCTCTGAGATGCTGATGTTTCCACACTTAAAGCCACTGTTCAGATGTTGCATTACAGACATTAGACAGATTTTTGTTCTCAAACTGCTCCTGTTTATAAGACAAATCATTACAAATCCTTTTCTTACAAATCCAAAACCTTCAGTTGTGTTTTGATATGACTTTGCTTCTGTAGCTGTAAAATTATTAAAATCATTCTGCATTCATAAATGTGCTCAATGCCTGCCTGAATCTATTTCATCTGAGAATAACTGCACACTCTATATTGTTAATCAGCCAATAAAATAAAGCACAGTCCTGTAGTATTATGTATTATAATGTATTTTTAATTGTTCAGTAGTTGCAAATTAATGTTTAGTAACATTTAATAATAACTTCATACTATGAATCATTATTAAGCAAATAGTGAATTCATTTTCTGTTAAGCATTAACTCTACATTAATAACATTAGTAAACAGTTTATAACTGCAGCTACAAATGCTCTACGCTTGATTTACAACCACATTTATGATGTGCCTAATACTTGTACTTTCATACTTTGTTAATGATTTATTTTTCAATACTTAATTATTACATTATTTCCAAAACAGTTATATAAGAGTAGTTTAAGATCATTCAGGATTAGTTCATAAATGATTAATAAACTGTTCAAATGAACATTTATAACTCCTATTATTC